GACCAGGATGGACAGGATTAGGAATGAGCACATCAGAGGGACAGCTCAGGTCGGCTGTTTTGGGGACAAGGTCAGAGAGGCCAGATTGAGATGGTTTGGACATGTGCAGAGGAGGGATAGTGGTTATATTGGTAGAAGGATGTTGGAGATGGAGCTGCCAGGCAAGAGGTCAAGAGGAAGGCCAAAGAGGAGATATATGGATGTGCTAAAAGAGGACATGAAGTTAACTGGGGTGAGAGTAGAGGATGCTGAGGATAGAGTTAGGGAGTTAGGTGGAAACAGATGATTCGCTGTGGTGACCCTTAACGGGAACAGCCGAAAGAAGAAGATATACTGCTGTATATCAATAAAGTTTTATCTTATCTTAACATATACTAATACATTAATTTTACTGAAATTATTTGTTGATTATATTTTGAAGGCCTATTATTAATCTGAATCTGTAAAGTAACTGCGGCTGTCGGATAAAGGTTGTACAGTAAAAAGGAAAATATTTGCCTTTGCAATGTAGAGGAGTAGAAGTATAAAGTAGAAGAAAATGGAAATACTCAAAGTAGAAGTATCTCCAAGTAGAGCGAATGCTCTTACTTCCTGTTGGATCTGGAAAGTTTCGAAGAACAGCACTCAGACTCCTAGCGGTGCATGCTGGGTGATATTGGGGCAGGGTAGCGGTAGCAGCAGTAGGAGGTTGACTGAATCGTCACTTTCTGCCGTTTTACACTGTCCCGCGGGCGTCATCTGGCAACCCGTGGACCGCACTGTCTTTACCTGAGTCATGGACATCTGTGGACAACATCTCACGGTGAGCTCAGCTGTTTTGTACGGTTCCTCGCACAGCTGCTGTCATAGGGAGCAGGAGGAAGAGAAGCTGCAGCTAAAGCTACTGCTAAAGCTAGCTGGACGTCAACGGGAGATGCTTGTAGTTAGTGTTAGCTAGCTGCGCAGTTAGCTAAGATAGTGCACTTGTCACTCACTTGTAACAAACTTTATATATCAGATAACATCGTGTGTTACTGTTTTTAACTATATAAAGCACAGCAAAGTGGCAACAAACTAATGAAACGTTAACAGCTCATCGCTATTAGCAACAAGGTTACTGTGAATTTGGCTTTGCATAGGGTTCAGGCTAACTCAGCTAAGCTACGTTAGCTACTGTTGCACCCCGCTTCAGAGAAGTGTCTCGGCCTTGTAGTTTAATTATCTGGCTTCTAGTTATCTTAGTTGCCAGTCCCATGCCAAATCAGTTCTACTCTCTTCGTTTGACTTTTCTCAACTGTCAGGCTTCTACTAAGCTAACGCTAGCTAGTCTGTCAGTCTGCTTAGTTAGCTGCATACGGATTTAGTTACTAGCTTCACTTATCCACCAACGTCAGACTGATGTGGAAAATGTGTGAAACTTGTCGAACTCCGAACAACTGTCTAAAGCGACAGGGCTCGGACATACAGTTAATTAAATGGACAGCTGTCCGAGAGGAAAACATTGTCATGAAGGTGTCATGTTGAGTTGGCTAATGCACTTGTGTTAGCGATAGCGCGCTGCTCCAAACAGCTGCTTTGACTCAGCCGTCAGTGCTTCTTACT